TCTTAAAAAGCTTAAGCCTATAATTGATAATCCCATCCAATCTTAAGTGTAAGTGTAAGTGTAAGTGAACTCCATTTATTCTTAAATACACACACTCTTCGAAATTTAAAAAAATCTAAGAGTGGTAACAATGTTCTGTCTTGAAAATTGGGATCGCAAAAGCCGTTTAACTTACCCTACCCCTAAATCACTCAAATCGTCCGTATAGCATGGCAAATATATAGTGCATTTTATAAGAGCCCCAAATGTGGCATAGATCGAAAAAGACCAATAATCATCATGATCGACAAAATGTGGATAGTACATCGTTAATCTGGCCGGCCCTTGACGGCCGTAGGATCCGTCAAGTCATCGTGAGATTGTATGCTTTTTCTCGTGCAGTATGGAGGCCAAAATATTTCAATTTAATTCAAAGGAAACATATTTTTTACATATTTGTTCATAAGTAAGTCAAATAAGTTTTTCAAACAAAAAAGAGGTAATTTTATATGAATAATAATAGTGCATATCCGTAATAACAAACCACAAAGTAAATTAAAGGAGGGTGAAAAGTAGGCCTATGGCTAAAAGTAGGCTGTTCATATAAACCACGCCGAAGCTTGATCTTTTTAGGGAACAGCCTATCATATAAACGGACAACACAGGACAGTATTCACAGACAATAAAACACGAAAACAAACAGTCAAAGGAAACCTTAATACAAGAAAAAAACACGAGACGGGACACTGAAAACGGAGACAAAATGAATAGTTACGATGAAGATAAGTTGAATAAAAGCGACGCATTGCTGTACGAAAAAAAAATGTGTGGCTATGGAGAGTACCTAAGGAGGGAAAGCTATGTTACACATCGTGATAGGAGCACCGTTTTGTACGAGGATTTAAAACCATTATTGGATTTCATTGTTCTAATTCTGTTATCAGTAGTGTTCCACAAATGGAGACCTTAGACAATTGATTTTCTTTCAATACCTCACTGAAATAAACCTTGCGCTGCCAGTTGGTGTCAGGCCTGGCTTTACAAGCAAGAGCGGAACTGCAGAAAACAGATCAGGTGCTGATAAACGAAAAGTTCTGATTAACCGAAAATGACGTACTGGCAATGTTTGAGACCTTCCACTATCATAGCAGAAAAGATTCCGACAAAAACCTCAACCCATTAAAAAGTGATTTGAGTGAAGGAGGGTATGCCTATGTAATTCTGTTGCCAGATTTGCTAAAAAACAAACAAACAAACACCCCAACAAACAAACAAACAAAAAACACCGGGCAATATGCAACGATGATGATTTCTCATTAACATTGAACACGAGGGACATTTGGACCATATTTTGTAGTATACATACATGTATACCCTACCTAATAAATATGCGCATTTTTCGTTATTGTGCAATCAGGGGTTAAGGGTCATACATAAGCAATGTCACGAGAACACCGTTTCGGAAAAAGAAGAAGCACTTTTAGACACATCTAGTAAAAACAATATTCGCACTCACTGGATTAAATTTCGGGGGGGGGGGGGGGGGGACGGCCCCTGCCCAACAATTATCAGAGGCATACCCTCCGGATGGCCACCCATGGAAAAAATGCATTTCAGCCCAGGCATGGTGTTAATACTGCTAACAGACGTGGATAACATGACTAACCTTGAAGAAGACAATCGTGCATTACCATTGAATTGACCTGATGACACAATGGTTTCAACGGTTACCACTGCAAAGGTGTTTTGGAACGCCAACATTGGTATACCATATGAGTTTACCATTTGAACCACTGATAATACCATTGACCATTGGTTCATCTCGATGGTATACCATGGATCATACACACATGGCTCCTGGTGTACCATTTATGAGATCAATGGTTCCACTGAATGATATACCAGGATTAAAACCATTGGTTCCACACAATGGCACACATAAAACTAAAAAACAAACAAATCAAATCAATGGTATTGCACTGATAACACCAATGGTTTCAACGGTATTTGACAACAGGTGCATATGCTTATAGGCCCACATGGCATATAATAGATCATACCATTAGTTCAGTTGAATGGACTACCATAGATAATACCACTGGTTGCAATCAACGGTTAACCATGGATTATACATTCAGAAACATGTGTTTATAACACCATGCATTAATTAATAAAGAATATACATTTGAGTCACATGTGTTGGAGTTGATGTACACGTGAATGCTACTTTATTCGTCTTCCGTTAATTTTTTGTAAACACTAGATGATACATTCTTTTTAAAAGTTGCATTTTTTTTATCAATATGTATCCTTTGACTAGAATTTTTTTTTTTTCATAAACCCATTGTTGTTTCTTTCCTGAAAATACTTTAAAAATTTAAAACGAAAAGGTCAGTTTGGAATTGTATTTGACCTTAAACCAGAATTTCAGCTCAATGAAAGTGCCAGCAGTATTGACCAGGGCATTTTGATACATAAAATGGGGCATTGTTCAGATTACTTCTCCCATGTATAAAAACATTTCTACCGCACATTTTCCAAGTAAAATTTATCGAATGCGCCTTACAATAAAAACAATAAGACTTCAGGTTATTCAAAATTCAATAAAAATGCACAAAAACCTAGCTACAACAATTAAGTCAAATCAAAGGTAAACCGGTAGGTGAATACTACAGATAAAATATCTCATTTAAAAGACCACTAAATTGTTAACTTCGAAAAAAAAAAACGAATCCCAATTCAATAAAATAAAACAGAAAATGAAAAACAAAAATGATGCTTTATGCCTATACTGACCACTTATTTAAAATCCAACAGAGTCAATTTACATGTTAAAAGCCTTTCGAAATAAGGTCTTCAGTTTCGACTTGAAGCTATAGTGACATTTTGTTGCTGCCTGATGTCAATTGGGAGTTCAATTATATTCATGGACAAAGTTATAATGTTTATGCAGCCTGCATAATGAGATAATTTAGAGCATAACACAATCAAGGCAATTCTATAAAATACATATTTCAGGAAAACATGCAAAGTGAATTGTTGCAAAGAGGACTAGCTATGTTTACAAAAGACATTGCAGGTGTTCTTGAAGCAAGTTTTCAGCATACAACACGAGTTCTCATTATATCAGTGATGTAATTGTGAACAACAAAACAAATAACTACACCCTCGTTTTGGCTGATGTGATTACTCAACGGGCTGTCTAATGGAGGAGCGTGTGGGATGTATGTAAATGAACAACATTAATTATCTTCCAGTACTGTTGACCAAAGGTTGATACAGCACGCCTAGCGTAGCTGCTGTTCTTCCAAAGAAACCTGTATAAATGGAGACAGAGAAGTACATAAAAAATGGTGCTTTTTTATGTAGTCAATTAACGCAAATCATGAGCGACAAAATGAAACCCGAAATGCGGGTTGTTAGTAGTTAGTATCAAAGTCAGAAATGAAAAACTTATTAAAGAACACTTGCACGCAATTGATGCCATTAGCACAGTTTTGTATACTGTTTAGAAGCGAACTACTTTTAGATTGATCACCAGTTTTAAATACGATTTCTCTAAAAAAATTAATAAAAAATACTTTTACAAACAAGGTCTCATAAACCATCATGCTTTTTTACGTGGGCGTGTAGAGAATGTTGGTCAACTAAACATGTTACATGCACACGTAACAGAGAAATGTTGTTACCTTTATAATTCCCTGTAGGAGCTAGGAGCTCTATACTAAGTTGCCCTGGATCCTCCGAACTGAATGGACTCGATAACAATCTATCATGAACAGAAAATGCATACAGGCTGTCATTGAAGATGAATTACTCAACATTTCAAATGGTCATCAGACATGTCAAAAGAGCTATAACAATATCACATCTTAGGATATTCTCATTGTCATGATTGTCTAGATTTATGCGATAACCATAACAGCAGGCAGTACAGCACAGCCAGAACTGAAACCGAGATATAATGCAGCTCCTTCCATAAGTCCTACCATTTCAAAAAGCGCAATACAGTAAAAAAAAAAAACACACACACACACGCCCAGTGGGCACATGACGTTGTTTCAACGTTGAATGTTGGTTGAAATGACGTCACGACGTCGAAATACCGTAAAACAACGTTATTTCAACGTCACTTTTGCGACGTTGATTTTATGTTACAGTTTGACGTTGTTTCAACGTCGAATAAATGTTGAAATTGCGTCGCGATATTATCAACCTAAATTCAATGTCTATCTAACGTCGGTTTTGTAACGTTGTTCCAACGTCCATATTTCGACATTAATCCAACATTGAATGTTGGTTGAAATTGCGTCGCGATATTATCAACCTAAATTCAATGTCTAGCCAACGTCGGTTTTGTAACGTTGTTTCAACGTCCATATTTCGACATTAATCCAACGTTAAATGTTGGTTGAAATTGCGTCGCGATATTATTAACCAAAACTCAATGTCTATTCAACGTCGGTTTGGTAACGTTGTTCCAACGTACATATTTCGACATTAATCTAACGTTGGATAAATGTTAAAATTGCGTCGCGATATAACAACCTAAAATTAACGTCTCTCTGACGTCGGTTTGGTAACGTTGTTCCAACGTACAGATTTCGACATTAATCTGACGTCGAATAAAAGTTTAAATTGCGTCACGATATTGACAGCCGAAATTCCATGTCTATTCAACGTCAGTTTGGTAACGTTGTTCCAACGTACAGATTTCAACATTAATCTGACGTTGAATATGCGTTTAAATTGCGTCACGATATTAACAATGTTAAATTCAATGTCTATCAATCGTCAGTTTTGTAATTGTTCCAACATATTTTGACATTATTCTGATGTTGGATAAATGCTTAAAATTGCGTCGTGATAACGACCTAAATGTACCAACGTCGGTTTGGTAAACTTTGTTTAACATACGGATTTTAATTAGTCCAAAGTTGAAAAAATGTCGAAATTAAGTGCGTCGCAATCAAACATATTGCATTGCTTTGAAATTGAGTATCCTCGCGGTTACTTTCAACGTCAGTCCTGCTGTATCAATTAACGTATAATTTTAACTATCAAAGTGCAAAATATTATGTCAAGAAATATAAACAAAATAGCCGACTTAATTGAACTTTGTGGCCTTTTTTATGAAAACATATTATTTGTCAGCACGCCAAAGCTGTGACGCTAGCCAATCACACGGCGCGTAATTTGTTCTACATTCCAAGGTTGTGACGCTGGCCAATCAGTTTTCATGTACTCTCTTTGAATCACGATATGGCGCGCAAGCATATGACCGTTACATATTTCGACATCATACTGCAGTTGTTTGGACGTGTAGCGTGCAGCCGACATCATTTTACTCAAATAACAGGTAAGAATTTTGCCATCAAAATTCGTAGTTATTGTTATGATGTTGCTTAGACATACCTGACGTTTATTCGAAGCACTTACTTATTAATTGCAACCAATCTCCCCAAAACGATAAACAAATATTGACACATCACTGGGGTCGGGGACACTGGCATGCATGGTCACTGATGATACCGGCGTCCGGTACGTATGGGAACCAGGTCGACCGCATGCATCCCGGCACTCGGAACAGTGTATTGCTGAGCTGTACTAAAAGGGTTCAATGGGAAAGTAGTGAGAGAAATCCTGAGAAATAATCCTCCATTGGCGTTTTGAACTGTACAGTATAATGGACGTGTGACTTAAACTTTCCGAGACGATATTGTTACCATGAATAAATGTGGCTCAATTACTGGATTTCCTTTGTATTGAAAAGTTGTTTCTGAGGAAATAGAAATTGCATTTTTTTTCACTTGGTAGACCTTATGGACATGAAATGCATGATGATGAAATGTACTTAAGCCTACCTGGTTAAAAAAATAATAACCAGGAAAAATATAATTCGATTTTCTGCACTGTAGAGTTTCAGTTTTCATGTAATTTTCAGGCTAAAAAGTAAAAATGGATCGTCCAAAAGTGATTGTAGAATGGAATGCAGTATATTTTCTCGAGGTCAATTACTGCCATACTGGATTTCTTCGTACAGCTACACAGCGGTGATAGGTCGTGGGTCATGTACATTATACCGTTTTACTTCCCCTGATTATTAAACCAGGGGGTTATCTTCCATAGGGAATAGGCCTATCAAGTGGGGGATAAACACTCCCGATTTCGATTTCACATGTTGCTATCACCACCCCGGTGCTCTTGTACATGTACAAGTCACAAAACGGAGGAAGTTGCTGGGTAGTTCCTTGATCCTTTGTGTAAAACTAACAGTTGCTGTGACAATAGTGAGAATGCATAACACAAATTTCTGTATCAAAACTTTAGGTAAATGCAAGCATGGATAATTATACCGCTGTTTGTAGCCTGTGCTGTGAATGTGCAATAACAAAATGGACTCACGGTGCAGGGAGTGAGTAATTACGTAAATGTATTGGCCTAAGTAATCAATCATTGCATAGGCAGGTGGTATTTCTACATAAACTTGTTTTTGTTTTGTGTAGATACTAGACATGGTTTGCATATTTTGGGGAGTATGCAGAGTCTAAGTTTGGCAGGTAGGACAGGTAGGGTAGTTAATCTCACTTTTTCAGCTTCTGAAGAAAAAATCCTTTTCAAAATTCCAGAAGAGTTTACAAGACCTCACAGATGACGAAACCCCACTCAGCAATGATTCATACAGGAATTGAGGAGGAGCCAAAGTCAGCATGGATTGTCGAACCAGTATGGAGGAGTTATGTATGACTTTCGAAGATGCTTCAGTTTGAAATCTTTCGGACAGTACTCGCAGTGCCGTAGCTGGTATGTATATGCCGACAAAAACAAAATTCAGGGCTAAGTTTTATGGCAAAAACCGATTATTTTATTCTTAAGTCAATAACACTTGCAGAGATGTAGCTCTGATTGCAGTCATCGCACATAAAAAAAGTGGTATTCAAATCCATTTCTACTTGTGCGAACAACAGACACAATGGCCAGTTCATTCAAAACGTTAACAAAACGCAAAAATGAAAACAGATTTGTGGCTATATCTTAATTGAGTGTTGGCAGAAGTTTCGTCACAGTGCATTGTATAATAACTTGTGTTTGTTTACACTCTTCCGTTATCTTTTTGCCTGATGGGTCTTTGCTTTTGTCTCTGAGCGTTGTTTTTTTTTCTCATCCAACAGGTGCATGACCAAGTGATTGAAGACAGTTCAACAATGATGGGCAGAGTGGAACTGAAAAAAAGCAGATGAAGAGACGGACCTTTCAGTTTCGCAGGTAATTTAATTTTCTTCGCCAGATTTAATTTATTTTGACCAATTATTGATCTTGGTTAAAATCTCATTGTGTGGTACTTGGTTGTATGGTTGATAATTGCTGAAGTGTCAGGAAATACAAGTGGTAGTTTTTATAAGTGCAAGTTTAATAAAAGGAATCATTCTGTTGATTTTTTGTACACAATGTCAGCACATAAAATGATGACCAAACGTGTTGTCGCTTTGTTGAAACTAATATGGTTTATGTATGTGTATTTCTCTTTGTTTGTGTTTGTAACATTTTCGTTTTGAGGGTGATTGGTTGTGTCAATGAATAAAGAGATGGTTGGGGAGGAAGCTTGCAATTCTAAAAATTACACTATCTTTTATTTGTCTTTTCTAGCGAGGTCTAGTAACTTCGTAATCGGGCAAGGTGATGGATGTTGCTGCTTGTTGAGTTTTTCATCTCCTGTCAAGTTTGCGCCTGAAAGAAGAGGTGATGGAGGGACACACTGAGGGCCCATGCACCTTCACATTCAGTCGTACCTTTGGACTGTGTTAAATATTTCAATATTGGAACAGTTGATTAATAGTAATTGTTCAAATACAGTAAGTTGCTCTGGAGTGGCTGGTATCTTTCCGTAAGTGTAACAGGTAAAGGCTCTTTAAGTGATGGAAATTCAACCTCTGCCGCATCTTGTACTTTTCATCTTGAAACTTCCACGTTCGAGAAGTGGGGGACTGTTATAATAATTATATACAGTACATGTATTGTGCATTATTTAGTTATTACTGTTGATTCTTGGTTGACCTGTTCAAATGTTCAATTGAATCATTTAGATTAATTTTGTATGAATGATGCTGTTTGTTTTATTATTTTCTATTTGATAGTTTCTAATGCTCTTGCCCAAGTCTGCCGCATAACCTCTTGCAATATTTCACAAGAAAATTCATAGATATGATAGAATAGTGCTGCAGGTAAATTTGGAAAACTAATATGAATTGTATGCAAATGAAAAAAAAAAGTGAATTTAGACGTTTAAAAATTGTACCTGTATGCTTGTTAATTCGTGTTATATTTCTGATGTAAATGCACTGGGCAGTGCTGCATTTCTTTGAAAAAAGAATCAAATTCATTATCATGTATCTTGTTAGAGACTAGTACCCTCGTTTAGGCTATAATGCTGTTGGAACAAGTCAATCTAATTCTGAATTTTACTATGTATGGATTAATTACTACTTTGTTGAAACCTAAAAGGTGGTATAAGCTGATAAGTAGGTTGGAAGTTAATTAATAAATACACACATTTTTTTATGGAAAAAATTAAAGTGATTGATAAAGAATTTCATTTAAATTTAAAGTTATTCAATTTCGACATGGATTTAACAACACTCCTCAGCTTGCAAATTTATTTAACATAGAACGATTGGAAAAATGCCAACATCCACCATTATCAGTACATTCTGGCTTTAAATCTTAACACAAACCTTAAAATATTTTGATTCAAGAATTGCATTTATTTAACTGTGATATTTCTAAGAATAGGATGTCATTTAATGTTGATTATTTATACGTTGATTGAACATCATGTCAGTGCTATTTTAATGTAGAGATGTCGACGTTAAATCAATGTTGAAATGTCTACGTTAACTCAACGTTGTGATCTTAACGTTGTTTCAATGTCGACATTTCCACGTCGCTTCAATTTGCATGAATCAACGTAGAATCTCCGACATTAAATCAACGTTGACATATCTACGTTGATTCAACGTCATGCTTTCCACGTTGGTTGGTTTAACGTCAGCATAATAACGTCAGATCAACTTGCAAATTCAATCATTAATCAACGTTGAATCAACGTAGAATGTCCGACATTAAATCAACGTTGAAATATTTACGTTGATTCAACGTTGTGCTTTCCACGTTGGTTTAACGTCAGCAAAACAACGTCAGATCAACTTGCAAATTCAATCATTAATCAACGTTGAATCAACGTAGAATTTTCAACATAAAATCAACGTTGAAATGTTGACGTTGATTCAACGTCGGCATTTCAACGTCAGAAAAACTTTCAAATTCAATCATTATTCAACGTTAGTTCAACGTCGGAAACTGACGTTGTTTCAACGTTATTTCAACGTATTTTGTACACCCATACTGAAATTTGTATTCTTGTGAAGACATTTCTTTGTTCTCGTGTACGGTAGTAAAAGTTTCGAGTTTGAAAGTGAAGTTTCAAAATGCTCTTATTTTAACCAGAATTAATTTCCTTGGCTGAAACTCTTCCATTTGCGACTGATCAACCCACCTTGGAAATTCCTAGTTTTTGAGTAAAATCTTGTGGAGACGTATCATCTATAGAAATTGTCCTGTGGAGACGTATACAATCTTTTGTTCCCTATTGTACACATGTCTCCAGAGGGAACGGTGTATCAGATCACACCCACAAACACATATTTACGTTACATACCAAGTGTGGACATTCCCTTGGTTTCGTGTAGTAAGAAAAACCAGTGGGAAAACAAATTCTCGAACTGTGAAAAACTCTTTCAACCCAATTTTTTCTATGATAAACCTAACCAAAAATGCCTAACCTGTTTTCCAGAAATGGGGAAACACTGTATGGACTTGCTCGAGAGTCAGCTTTTCTGCTGTGATTTACTCTCTGGAGTCTTAAGACTCTAGACATTTGGCACCAGTATTCCAAATGGCTATGTTGCATTTTGGAAAGCAAGTCTTTGACTTCAACACCTATACATACAAAAACAGGGGCCCCACTGTACACAATAAAGCACTAAGAAAAAAAAACATGAAATAAGCATAGAGAACACAACTACATCAAAACGCCAACAGCAGACCCTCAGAGAACATCCAGTCAGTACCTGGAGGAAACACAGACAACAAAGAGGGAATGAAAAAAAACGAAAGAAAAAAAGATGGTGTCTGTGCATGCAATATCAACTTGATAACGACATCAGTTCAAAGAATTTTCCTTCAAAAACGCCATAACGACATTAATCGACACTTTTATGCAAGAATTTTACTTGAGAGTCAGCTTTTTTGCTCTGATTTACTCTCAGGAGTCTTCAGACCCTAGACATTTGGCAAAGGTATTCCAAATGGCTATGTTGCATTTTGGAAAGCAAGTCTTTGACTTCAACACCTATACATACAAACACAGTGCCACAATCAAGCTCTAAGAAAAAGCATGAAATAAACATGCACAACTCAACTCACAAAACCCAACAGCAGACCCTCAGAGAACATCCCGTCCCGGCCATCGTCAATACCTGCAAGTACACTCGGTCAAGAGACAGGGAAGAAAGAAAAAAAACTGCAAAAGAAAAAAAAGAGAGGGTTAGTCTGTGCACAAATAAACTTGATTTCAACATCAAATCAAAGAGTTTCCCTCCAAAACGCCATAACGCCATTCTTCGTCACTTTTTGGGAAACATTTTACTCGAGAGTCAGCTTTTTCTGCTGATTTACTCTCTGGAGTCTTAAGACTCTAGACGTTTGGCAAAGGTATTCCAAATGGCTATGTTGCATTTTGGAAAGCAATTCTTTGACTTCAACACCTATACATACAAACACAGGGGCCCCACTACACAATAAAACTTTAAGAAAAAGCATGAAATAAACATGCACAACTCAACTTACAAACCCCAACAGCGGACCCTCAGAGAACATCCCGTCCCGGCCGTCGTCCATACCTGCAAGTACACTCGGACAAGAGACAGGGAAGAAAGAAAAAAAACTGCAAAAGAAAAAAAGAGAGGGTTAGTCTGTGCACTAATGAACTTGATTTCAACCACAAATCAAAGAGTTTCCCTCCAAAACGCCATTCTTCGTCACCTTTTTGGAAGAATTTTCCTCGAGAGTCAGCTTTTCTGCTGTTATTTACTCTCTGGAGTCTTAAGACTCTAGACATTTGGCACCAGTATTCCAAATGGCTATGTTGCATTTTGGAAAGCAAGTCTTTGACTTCAACACCTATACATACAAACACAGGGGCCCCACTACACAATCAAACTCTAAGAAAAAGCATGAAATTAAACATGCACAACTCAACTCACTAAACCCCAACAGCGGACCCTCAGAGAACATCCCGTCCCGGCCGTCGTCAATACCTGCAAGTACACTCGGACAAGAGACAGGGAAGAAAGAAAAAAACTGCAAAAGAAAAAAAGAGAGGGTAAGTCTGTGCACTAATGAACTTGATTTCAACATAAATCAAAGAGTTTCCCTCCAAAACGCCATCACGCCATTCTTCGTCACTTTTTGGGAAAACATTTTACTCGAGAGTCAGCTTTTCTGCTGTGATTTACTCTCTGGAGTCTTAAGACTCTAGACATTTGGCACCAGTATTCCAAATGGATGTTGCATTTTGGAAAGCAAGTCTAGACTTCAACACCTATACATACAAACACAGGGGCCCCACTACACAATAAAACTCTAAGAAAAAGCATGAAATTAAACATGCACAACTCAACTCACAAAAACCCCAACAGCGTACCCTCAGAGAACATCCCGTCCCGGCCGTCGTCAATAGCTGCAAGTACACTCGGACAAAAGACAGGGAAGAAAGAAAAAAAAAACTGCAAAAGAAAAAAAGAGAGGGTTAGTCTGTGCACTAATGAACTTGATTTCAATATCAAATCAAAGACTTTCCCTCCAAAACGCCATCACGCCATTCTTCGTCACTTTTTGGGAAGAATTTTCCTCAAGAGTCAGCTTTTCTGCTGTGATTTACTCTCTGGAGTCTTAAGAATCTAGACATTTGGCACCAGTATTCCAAATGGCCATGTTGCAATTTAGAAAAGCAAGTCTTTGACTTCAACACCTATACATACAAACACAGGGGCCCCACTACACAATATAACTCTAAGAAAAAGCATGAAATTAAACATGCACAACTCAACTCACAAAACCCAACAGCGGACCCTCAGAGAACATCCCGTCCCGGCCGTTGTCAATACCTGCAAGTACACTCGGACAAGAGACAGGGGAAGAAAGAAAAAAAACTGCAAAGAAAAAAAAGAGAGGGTTAGTCTGTGCACTAATGAACTTGATTCAATATCAAATCAAAGACTTTCCCTCCAAAACGCCATCACGCCATTCTTCGTCACTTTTTGGGAAGAATTTTCCTCGAGAGTCAGCTTTTCTGCTGTGATTTACTCTCTGGAGTCTTAAGACTCTAGACATTTGGCACCAGTATTCCAAATGGCTATGTTGCATTTCGGAAAGCAAGTCTTTGACTTCAACACCTATACATACAAAAACAGGGGCCCACTACACAATAAAACTCTAAGAAAAAGCATGAAATTAAACATGCACACTACTCAACTCACAAAACCCCAACAGCGGACCCTCAGAGAACATCCCGTCCCGGCCATCGTCAATACCTGCAAGTACACTCGGACAAGAGACAGGGAAGAAAGAAAAAAAACTGCAAAAGAAAAAAACAGAGGGTAGTCTGTGCACTAATGAACTTGATTTCAACCACAAATCAAAGAGTTTCCCTCCAAAACGCCATTCTTCGTCACTTTTTGGGAAGAATTTTCCTCGAGAGTCAGCTTTTCTGCTGTGATTTACTCTCT